GGGGGCGTGGCCACACCGCAATCCCTTCTCCTCCATTCTCCTCTCGGGATCTTGGGCACGCACGCACACGCGCCCAGCATGAGTTTAAGCCACCGGGTCCAGGAAGTGAACCGCGGTCGACTACGTGAGAGTCCAGTGACATAGCCATTATGCTAACTGCTGGTCCCCAGAAATCATTTTTTAAAAGTTTTTTTTTAGGTAAAGCACATTTCATCCAAGCTTCTTCCTACAGCTTTACAAGGAAATTCCCACTGAGTCTCCTCTTCCTGATTATCTTTGGGCAAAAGCAAATTGTGAAGCAGCAGGCAAGGGGAAGGTGCTGGGACCGGCAGAAGAGCAGCCCCCTCCCCAGAAAGAGCCTCCCCAGCTAAAGAGTGCAGCATTGCAGGGAGACTCAGGTGGCAGTTCAAATGCTCAGGCTTTCGAGATAAAAGCGTGCAATTCAATTAAATGTTTAAGTAGTGTTTTCTCATAGTAAATTACTGAACCGTGTGTGCATTCCTTGAATTTCTCAGGGCACTGTTCGTTTTTATTTATTGTTGTAACCCAATGCCCTCAGCAGTGGGAACGGTGCTATTAGAAGGAAACTCGTTTAGCAAAGAGGAAAGTTGTCCCAGGTCTCTTAAAAGGTTCATTATGCGGGGGTAGCTGGGCTCCAGGAAGAATCCCGGGCTGCAGAGGCAGGCTTTTCTATTTAGCATGATATTTTCCACAATTCTGTAAGCAGCACCTCGGCACAAACACTTCTTATATTCAGTTCCTGCCTTTATTTTTTCCTAGCCACTCTTCTCTCTGGGCCTACTCCTTATTAAAAAAAAAAAAAAGAAAAGAAAAGAAAAAGAAATCACCAAGCACACATATTTTTTCAATTAAGCCATGTTTGGTGCCAAAATATATGGATCTCACTAATAGCCATAAGTAATCTGAAGGTCTTTTCCCCAAATATTTTGATTATTTTACAAATCCCCCAAGGAATGTGTTCTTGGGGTGATTTATGGAGCCCAGGGAGGCTCACGATAGGCAGGAGGGTCTGTCTGCAAGGGGGCACGTTCGGATGGGGGTATGTGCCTCCCACTGCCTCTGCAGGGCAGGGGGCCGGACTCCCAGGAGACTGCAGGCATCTCTGCATGGGGAGAAGAGTCAGGGCTCGAGCCCCCACTCAGGCAGGCAACTGCAGCCAGTCTCCACGACGACGGGTGACAGGAGCAGAAGTGACCCCTGCAGGTAACCCTGGGTGGCCGACAGCTTGCCTTGCCTTCTCCGGAGGGGCGTTTTGTTCAACCTCTATCACATTGATCCTTCTTATTTTTAAACTTTTAATAAGAAGATGGGCCAAGGGAGAAACCATGGAGTCAGAGTCAGAAAAAAGCTAACCTGTAATTAAAAATGACCTATGAGCAGGACCAGCAGATGGCGTAATGGTTATGTTGCTGGACTCCCACATGGTCAACTGCGGTTTGAGTCCCCGACCTGGTGGCTTCAAACACACGCCTGGTGTGCGATTTTTGCTATAGGGTGTGTGTGCATGCCCAAAATCCTGAGAGGACAGCGGAGGGAAAAGGACTGTGGCATGACCATCCCCCTTCGCTTTCTGTCTCTGTCTCTCTGGCCAGCACACACACCCTATAGCAAAAATCTCTCTCAAAAAAGAACAAAACTTATTGAGGGCCGGTCTGGTGGCCTAGCAGTCAAAGGAGCTGTATCGTATATGGCCGACCATGGTTCAAATCCCACCCCAGGAGCCTTGAGAAACACACTGTCCGTGTGTGTGTGCCTCAAATCACGACAGGATGGAGAAATGGAGGCAAAAGGACTACAGCCTGATACTTTCTCACTTTCCCGCCCTCTCTTGTCCATTTCTCTTTGGCAAGTGCCTGTGCCCTCTGGCAATTAAAAAATAAAATAAAATCTACCCAGGAATAATCTTCAGGTTTGAAGAAGCGATGCTGGTGGCCAGGTGGGCCCTGCAAACAGGCTCAATCTCCTGACCACACAGCCCTCCTAGCCCCCCATGGAACACCCAGAGACCCACCAAGTCCAGCCTGAGTGGGCTGAGTTCCCGTAGGGAGCCGGGGAGCCTGCCAGAGCCCCTAGTGATCCAAGAAACCCAAATCAAAGGCAGCTTGTCGCTCGGGCCGATAAGGCTCCCACAGTGACCGCAGTGACCGCAGAGGTGAAGGGAGGTTGGGCTTGGCAGCCAGAGCCCCACGCCCATCCACCTCAACGCCCACCGCCTGCCCTGTGACCTCTGGCTGAGCCTCCTCCCCCTTTGCCAAGTGGAGATAAGCATTTCCATCCTCCTGGCTGGATCCTCTCAGGGAAGATCAATTGGATCAATTAGATTAATTGGATTATTCTTTGTGAAATGAAGATCAGGCCAGGAGGAACCTGGAGTAGCAGCGCTGCCACCCCAGGAACGGACGCCCGGACGCAGCTTCCACATGCTCGCCCTTCCTTCACTTCCAACCAACCCCAGCCTCCCAGCCGCTGTCCTAGACCCGGGTCCCAGGCCCGACTCGGACCCTGATGGCAAGGTCCTGTCACCCACATCGTGGGGACCCATGGACCGGCTAGTGGCCAGTCCTCTCGGCACAGGGACCTCCACGGCTACTGTGGAACCGAGCCTCGGTCTGGTCCCGCCACCTGAGCAGTCTCGCCATCACGGCGGCCCCCGCCCAGCCCAGCCACCCCAGGACAGCCCAGCCTCGGTCTGACCAAACTCCAGGTCCACAGCCGGACCGTCACTGCCCGGGCCTCCCCCGTCCAGGAGGATATCCTGTGGTGACACTTCCTCTGAACGACTGGACGCCTTTTAAGAAGCAGGTATGCCCTGATCCCACCAGGACCCCCCACACCAGGAGCCTCCACGCCCATGCAAAGCGAGAGCCCTGGTCAGCAGAACAATGGGCCAGACTCAGGGTCCCTGCGGATATGGAACAAAGGGCTGCTTGGAACTCCCAGAAGCGTGTCCCATCCCACACTGGCCCACGCGGGGGAGGAGGTCGTGGGCCGCATGGCCTTTTGAAGGTCCCCAAAACTCCGGTCTCACAGAGGCTTTAGTAGGACAGGAGTCGACCAAGAGGCTCGTCCCCTGTGTCCCTCCCTCTGGGCGAGTCCAGCTGTCATGAAATCCTCTCCCCTGTAGGCGAGGCTGTGGGGAGGCCCCCGGAGGTGCCAGCGTGCCCCTCTCCCCCACCCCCAGCCCCCTCCTGCTGATTCACAGGGAGCCTCGGGCTCTTATCAGGGCCCGCCAGCCAGGCACCAGCACACATCCACACTGGCCGCACCTTCCGCCCAGAGCAGCCTTTGTCTCTGGCTCCAAACTGGCTACGGGAAGTGGGGCGCAAGGGAGGGGTGGGGGTGCCGTGGGGCCCCGGAGAGACTGCAAGGGGCCTCCCCGTCTGATGCCATGTGATCCTCACCTAGAGAGAGAAGCAGGGGTAGAGAGAACGGAGAGCACCACCCCTCACTCCTTCTGGGGATGCCTCAGCAAGCTGAGCTCAGAGAGGCAAAGGGACTTGTGCAAAGTCACACAGCACGCTGGAGGCACAGGCTACGCTAAGAGCCAGCTTTCAGGCCCAACCCTCGGTCCTCTGCTGGGTCACCGACTCACCAGCTACCCTGAGTGAGAACCATGTGTCTCGCATGGTGTCCACACCAACGGTACAGGTTTGGCAGCAGATCTTGAGAAGACGAGGTGCGTCCGAGATGGGAAGTGCATGCCACAGCCCTTTTCCCCGTGGCAGAGGGCAGGAGGGAAGCTCTGGGAAAGGAGTGCAGGGCCGTGGGAGAGAGCCACGGAGAGGTTTTGCTGTGGGCTCAGTTAGAGGTGGGTGTGAGGACAGTGCTGGGGCTGAAGGCTAGAGCTGAGAGGCAAAGAGGCACACCAGCTTGGGGGCTGCAGAGGAGGGGTCGGGGGCAGGGTGAAGGCCTGGAGGGCTGAGTGGGAGCTCCAGGTTGTGGAGGCCGGAGCTCTCTACTCTCGTGAGCAACCGGACCGTTTCCACAGTGGGAGGCAGGCTGCGGAAACCTGAGCGCCTGGTCCCTGTGCCTTCCCGGGGGAGCCACTCGCTCGGTGACAGGTGGCACTGACAGGAGCGCTGGGCAGTCACCCTTGGCCAGCGATCACCTTGGGGTCCCCAAGTCTTGGCAACTCTCTTCCCACCCCCTCCTGACCACAAGCACCCAGATTCTGGCCCAAGAACCAGAATAGTCCCCAAAAACAAAGTCTAGTCCCTTAAGAAAACGGAGGCTCGGCAAGGGAACAGCGAGGTCCCACAAGAACGGTGGCAGAGGCAGCTCACTGGATGAGTCTGCTGTCCAGCTGAGACCCAAACCACTCCTTTATCACCTTGCTAGGTCCTCTGTCCACCAGCCTGCGTCCCCCCAGCCAGCACTGAGGGGACACAGGACTCTGGACTTGGGCCTGGCCAGGGACACGACTCTAATCCTACTTCAGGGCGCTCCCGATCAGCTTCTGGGGCAAGAAACTGCCTTTGTTGTTCAAGGAATAGTCACTGTCCAGTCCCCATGCCACTCAGCAGATGCTGGGGAAGGTGACAGACGATGTGGCCATGGCCCTAACTTCACCCTGACTCCCCTTCCAGGCGGATGGAAGCCACCTGAGGATGCAGCCAGGTCGGGCTCTGCAGTAAGCACCCAAGTGGCCTGGCCCAGGCGGGCCTCGAGCACTCACTCGGTTCCTGGGAGTACCCGACCTCCCCCATGCCTTCCTTCCTCTGCAGGAAACTGCGCCCAGAGCAGTGGTTTTACTTTGTTTTCAGCTTTCTGGGCTCGTGGTTTGGAAACAGCCAAGGCCTGCAAGTTGTAGCAGCTCCTCAGCTGCTGGGGAGAAAACGGATCCGGCCCTTCCGCAGGCGCTCTGACTTCAATGTGCACGGCCTTTGACCTAGCAGCTCCACTTCTGGGAAATAACAGCGAGGTGCATGCTCACAGCTCCAGCCTGCCAGGCGGCAACGTCAGGATGGCTTCAAAGGCGTCAGGACAGCCTCAGTGGCCAGCCCCAGGGGCCTGGGTAAGTAAACACGTGCACTCATGAAATGCAATACTGGGTGGCCATTATAAACCACACAGCAGGGAGGCAGAGGTGGCATGATGGTTAGGGAACTGGGCTCTCGCATGGCTGGCTGTGATCCTAGTCCCGGACTTGCTTTCTCACTTTCCCTCCCTTTCTCTCTCTCTGGTGAGTGTTCATTAAAATGATGGTAATAAATAAAATTAAATAAGTAATTCTTTTTAAAAAAAACACATTGAAAGAAAATCATTAAATTTAATTAATTAAGAGGAAAAAAAACACACCGACTATGTGATAAATAAAGAAAATATTCTCAGTATTACTAAGAAAAAAGAGGGGAAAGGGACCAGCAGTTAGCGTAATGGCTATGTCGCTGGACTCCCACGTAGTCGACTGCGGTTCGAGTCCCGGACCCGGTGGCTTAAACTCAGGCCGGGCGTGTGTGCGTGTGTGCCCAAGATCCCGAGAGGAGAATGGAGGATAAGGGATTGCGGCCTGGCCATCCCCCCTGGGGGTGATTTCTCACTTTCTGTCTCTCTGTCTCTCTCTGTCTGTCTGGCAAGCGCACACGCCCCAGCCCCCAGAACAAAAACCTCCCAAAAAAAAAAAAAAGAGGGGAGATGGGCCAGCAGGTGACGTGAAGGTTAAGGCACTGGATCCCACATGGCTGACTGGGCGGTTCATATGCCAGACCTGGAGGCCTGAAAATCACACCGGGCGTGTGCGTGTGTGCGCATGCCCCAAATTCCAAGAGGAAAATGGAGGAGAAGGGATTGCGACATGGCCATTCCCTTGCAGGGTGATTTCTCACTATCCCTCTCTCTGTCTCTCTCTGTCTCACTCTGTCTCTCTCCAGCGAGCACATACACCTATGACAAAAACCTTAAAAAAAGGAGGAGACCAGTAGGTGGCGTGGTGGTTAAGGGGCTGGACACTCCCACATGGCTGACCACTATTCAAATCCTGGACCTAGTGGCTTGCTTTCTCACTTTCTCTCTCTCTCTCTGCCTCTGTCTGGTCAAATTAAAATAAATGAATGAATAAATAAAATAAAATAATTCTTAAAAAAAGATGACAAGAAAAGGACTATTCCACATCATTTTAAAAATGATCATACAATTATTTTCTCTCAAGGTGGTAGAGTTCAGGGTCATTTGCTTTCCTTTGTGCTTTCCTTGTTTCCTAAACATTCTACATTAACCATGTATTACTTTTCTAAAAACAAGACAGAAAGAAGAAAGCCCATCAAGATGGACCTCGGCCGCCCCCTCACCGACCGGCTATGGGAACCAGCCTCCAGGAGCCGCCGCCACTCAGTGTCCATGACCTTTCTGAAATCCCCATGCACACACATGTCTAGATGGGGAAACCGACTCCACGCCAGCCCAGGGGTCCCTGCTCACCACCCCAGCCCCACCACTAGCTACCCCAAGGGAATGCAGTCCAAGGAGTCTGAGGGATTGGCTGGGGTTAAAGGGAGAACGTGGGGACAAGCCTCAGGGACTCTCGGACTCGCACGATGGCAGAGCCAGAAGGGACTGGTTACTCAGAGATGTGGAAACAGGCCCACGGGGGGACGGTCACACCTCATGCTCACCGTGGAAGGGCAGCCACTGGAATGCCAGGCTCCGTGGCAAAGATTCCAGAGCTGAGGATTTAGCTGAGAACCCAGAAAGAACACCCAAGCCCCGAAACAACACCAGGACTCGTGCCCGGGAGCCCAGCGGACAGTCCAAGGTAGAGGCAGCGTCCACCATCCCCTCGCTTCAGTGAGGCTGCAGATGGGGCCAGAAACACCAGTGCACCCCAGAACAAGCCTCCCCACAGGAGGCACAGGGCCAACCAGCCGCCCTGCAGAGATAGGGGCACTACTGGCTATGGGTGTGGGGGGGACACCCAGGGACCTCGAGACCACAAACACAGGCTGCAGAGGACCTCCCACTGCCAGGGAGACCCCAGGGCAAATACCCTGGCCAGCCCCCCAGCCGGGGCCGCCTGCAGGAGGGCAGGAGCCTTCTCACTGACACGGTGGGAATTCCAGCCCCAAGGTCAGTCTGTAATGGGGTGAAGTTCCAGGCACCCCTAGTCACTCCAGCGACAAATCACAAAGGGCATGGGATTACAGGTGCCTCAGTCCCTCGTGCAGGGGTTCTGTTCAGGGCAGTGAGGGGACACTGTCACCATACGGGTGGGCTGTCCCTCGTGCCTAGGGTTCTGTTCAGGGCAGTGAGGGGACTCTGTCACCATAGGGGTGGGCTGAGAAAGAGGAGCGGCAAGTCCCTGGGGCTGTCAGGAGCCCAGGGGCCACTGCTGTGCCCATGTCATGGCTGTGAGCCTCTCAAGCAACCCCAGCACCCCAGGCAGGCGTTACAAGGTCTGAGTAAGTGACTGCTCACCAGCTTATGGGGTGCCGGGTGCCTTGGACAGGGGCGGAGGAAGGGCCTCGGCTCTGCTGGAAAATGGTGGGGATCAGAGCAACCTTTCCCCCAGCTTGGGCCCCTCCTCTCCATAGCCCCTCATCGGAATTCACGAAGGTCCTGAAAACCTGATTCTCTCAGCAGGCAACCGAAACCAGGAAAGCAGCCTTTGCCAGGTCCTCAGGGTCCAAAGTGGCACCTCAGGGACACACATTTGCAGAGGTCCCCAGGGTCAGGCAACACCAGGCTCTTGGGGCTCTTATTCAAAACGCAGGTTCCCTCTGGAGCCAGTAGTGAGGACAGAATGCAAAGGTACAAACGCCACTGAACTGTACCCTGGGAGACGGTGAAACTAAGTCCTGTAAATGTCATCTCACTTTAAAAGTGCCGCCCCCCCCCAGTATATTCTAGGCCCGCCCAGCCTTGGAGACCCCGACTTAGCAGACCTGGGCCTGGGAACGTGCATGGGACCTGAGCGGCAGGAGTGGTCCACAGCCAGGGCTGGGGACCCTGCACCCCAGGATCCGCTTTCCTGCACTGCTGGATCTCAATGCCGCCTGTCCTCCACCCAAGTTCCATCATCTTACCAGTGGGGAGACTAGGCCCAGAGCATGACAGGCCCCAAAGCTCACGGAGGACCCTGATGAAATGCAAACAACCCCTCCCTCACCAAGGGCAGGGTGTGCCGCAGAGGGTCCCTCCAAGGTGAAGCCCCCCTCTCCCCTGCAATGCAGCTCAGGTGGGGGGTGGGGGCCCTCGGAGGGATGGTGCAGCTTTCCAGTCTGACTGTCCCCAACAGCCAGCCCCCAGGGCAAAGACGGCCACCGCCTTCCCACCTGGGCCCCAGGGAACCAGAGGATGGAGGGTTTTTTATTATTATTGTTATTTTTTAAATACGAATGATTTCCAGGCGGAAGGCAGAGGGATGAGGGCCATCGGAGGCCTCTGGCCGCGGGCACCCCGCCAGCCTCGGAAATGTCTGGCAGCTGGAGGGAGCCTTAGCTCCTGCTACGGAATGAGCTCGTCACTGCTCACTTCCCTGGCTCTCCGGCTGACGGGTCCAGTGTGTGCCTGAGTCTCCAAAGTCACTTCCTAGGCCACCCTCAAGGGACGGAGCATCAGGGCATGTGGGCAGAACTTCAGGGGGGCCTCAGTTTCCCCGACCAAGTGTGGGCAGAACGAGGGGAGCACTGAGTCAGCTGCAGGTCAGCCGGCCATTACCCGGAGGCTGCTGGCCGCCGTGGCACTGGGACGGTACAGTCTCAGCCTTGACAGGCGAGTGACCCCACCGCCTATCAAGCACCCAGACCTGCCAAGTCCCTGGCATGGTACTGGTCCTGGGCACAGACTGGCTCTTTTCATTTTTCACAACCACCAGGACAACGGGCCACTATTACCCTCATTGTACAAGAGAGAAACCAAGACTCAGAGAGGTTTAGGACTCTGCCCAAGGTCACACAGCTAGTGAATGTCAAAGCCTTGCTCTAAAGCCAGTACTCTGCAAAGAAAGCAAGAAAAGAACCGGGGGACCGGCAGATGGTGTAGTAGTTACGTCACTGGACTCCCACATGGCCAACATCGGTTTGAGTCCCAAAATTGGTGGTTTTAAAAACATGTTGGGATGGGGCTGGAAGGTGGCATGGTGGTTGAAGGTGCTGGACTCCCACATGGCTGACCATGGTTCAGGTCCCGGACCCAGCAGCTTGCTTTGTCACTTTCCTTCTCTGTCGCTTTCTCTCACTCTCTCTCTGGTCAAATTAAAATAAATACATGAATTAAAAAAAGTTAAATAAAATAATTATTTTTAAAACATCATGTTGGGCACGTGTGCGTGCGTGCCCAAGATCCCAGGAGGAGAATGGAGGAGAAGGGATTGTGACGTGGCCATCCCCCCTGTGGGTGACTTCTCACTCTCCTGCTTACTGTGTCTGTCTCTTGCTGGCGAGCACATGTGCCCTAAGACAAAAACCTCTGAAGAGGAGAAGAGGCTGGATAGCGCATTCCACGCCACGTGGGCCGCGCGCACTAAGGATGGGGAGGGGGTTGGGAGAGGAGGCAGATATCCACTAGCTATTCCAAGCTGGACGAGCCTGCGTTCATGTCCAGGTGTCCACAGGGCAGGGCAGGGAGGGGCACAGTGCAGAGTGGCTCAGGGGCCTGCAGGGTAAGGGAACCATGGGCAGGCCCCACCTCCCAGCCAGGGCTCCTCATCCCACTGGGGAGGCCAGGCGTCATCTCAGGACTAAAGTGAACCCTGCAATCCACGCGCTGGAACAGAATGCTGCCATTAAAAACTGCTTATGGGGGGAACAGCAGTTAGGATAACGCCTAAGCGG